GTAGTAAGTAAAGTATAGCTTTCTGAAACAATTCAAATGGGGATAGGAAGTTGGTTTTAAATGGCTTAAAGGAGATTAGGGTTTTAAAGTTGGATAAGGAGTTTGGTGCTTTGGTTTAGGCACGGCATTGCTTTTAAAAGATTACTTCCATATTTGACAACAATTCTAACTGGAGATTATAAAGCAAATAGTCAATTTTAAGACACTACGGAATACAAGAGGGCTTCTTTTTGTTGTTGTTTGTTTATACAAAATGATTGCCTAGAGTTAACAGGCTGAGTCCTGAAGCCCTTATTTCATAATACTGCTGAGGATCTATCACCAGGGAGAATCCAGCAGAGGTTGTTTAATGCACTTAATTGAGATTATCTGAGCTTTTGGTTTAAATTACTTTGGGAAAAGTCTAGGTACAAACGGCTTCTTTGAAAGGTAAACATACTTAACCTCTAAGAAAAAAGGTTCAACTTAAGTTCTTTGAAATTCTTCAAACAGGTCGTAGCACCAACGCTTATTAATTAAATTGGAGTATGAACTGAATAATGAGTAAAGATTAAATCTCTATACATCAGGTACAAGTGTTAATATAATTCTATTAAGAGTATTTTCATTATTTTATAATTGCTTGAGAATGCAATCAGGTATTGTATTAGAAAAGCAACACCTGACAATTTTAGTAATTTTCGAAAGTAAAAAGATACTATGTGCTGTTTCGGTTATACAGTATAGTTAATGATAAAGTTTTAAAAATGAATTCCTTATTCTGTTCCATCTAAGAAGCAGGTCATCATTAAAGTGGATCAAGAATGGTATAACTGTATGTATTAGCTATGGGTAAATAGTCAAAAGTTGGTTTAACATTTTTGCCCTATCTTCCTCAGCTCCTTGACCTGTTTATGGTTTGGGATTGGTCTACTTATCTAGCTGATTATGGACAGCCAGCTTCTAAGTACCTTCGGGTGAATCCAAACACAGCTCTTACTCTTTTGGAGAAGTAAGTATATTCTGAAGACTTTTTTGCACAACATTATAGCATTTTGTGATTTAGTGATGCTCGAACAACTAGAGACTTTCAACAAAAGAGAAATGTCTAAATGGAGCTTAAAAGCTCAGTCCATTTTAATGACCAAAACATAAGCCTCTTTCTTTCCTGGTTGTAGTGTTGGTGTAGTTTTATGAGATTGCTGTTTCTGTTGATGTGAACAAAATTTTGTGCATCTTGTCCAATTAAAAATAATAGAAGTTTAGTTGTTACTTTTCCCCTCATTATGTGGCAGATTTTCTTTTAACTTAATCACATTTCATTTTAGGTATTACTATTAAAATTTTCTATTTTTGAATTAAAAATGTATATTATTTTCCCACATTTCAGAATATCTGTGATATATTTGATTTCAGAGGACAAAAGGAACTGTTTAAAATAAATGTAAATTTATTTTACCATGCCATGAAACACTAGTGAGGCCAAAAACAAAAAACAAAAAACGCTGCTTTAAGTCTTCTAATGTTATTTTTCTTCCACCTTGTCTTGCTATGAATGTGATTTGCAGAGTCCATAGAGGGTATGTATTTTAGCCTACATTATGGAATGATATTAGAAAATAGTATGATATTAGAAAACTTAACATACTTTAGATTTACATACTAATGCAAAAACCCCACTTCGTATAGAATGTAAAATAAAGCTGCTAGTATTTTGTGTAGTTGCTCTGTATTTTTATTAGTACCTATTTTCTTTGAAGTATATTTTTCAGGCATAAGGATTAGTGTGAGATAATTCAGAGCACGCCAAGATATTTTACTTGTGACAGCATAGCTTTTAATTTCCCTTTACCAAGCCTCTTCATTCATATATATTCCTAGGATGAAGGATACTAGCAAAAAGAACAATATATTTGCTCAGTTCAGGAAGAATGATCGAGACAAACAGAAGTTGATAGAGACAGTCGTGAAACAGCTGAGAAGTTTGGTGAATGGTATGTCCCAGCACACATAGACTTGGATTGCACTCAGTGACACCAAATCTGTGATTCAGCGTTGATCTCTAATGGGTCATGATACAGTAATTTGTTTGCAGAATTTAAAAACACAGTAGAAAAAGACACTGATGAGAAATTAAACAAGAAACAATAAAAATATCATTTGTACAGATTTTTAAATAATTGGATACTGTTTTATATGGAAAGTGTGATACTAATTTTTTTCACTTTTAGGGAAAAAGGCAAAACATATAAATCAGGTCAAAAGTCGTATATGAAATTGATTGTAAATTCATTAGAAAAAGCTTATATGCCTCTATATATAAGTATTTTTTTCTATTCAGACTTGAATGGCTTTTCTGGTTTTTTTCATTAGTATCCAGTTTTGAAATGTAATCATGTCTGATATGGGAGTATTTCACTGTCATTTTGTAACTGTTAACTTTTATTTTCATCTCAATATGATTTAAGTAGACTAAATTTTCCAATTCTGCAGATTCTGAGGGGGAAATATACAAATCTTTAAAGGTCCCTGAAATCAACCTTGATTTAACTCAGTAAGAATGTGAATTATTTGTTCTGCTTGGGTGGTTTAATTTAATGCTTCTGAATATGAAGAAAAGGTGTTTGGATTTTCTAAAGATGCAATGTTGTTTCTGTTTAGCAGGGTTAATATTTCTAACTATATTGTTTGTAGCTGACCCCATTCTAGGATTTATTTGGTTTGGTTTGGTTCAAGTTAAAAGAGAGGACAGGAACGAAGCAGGGTAAACCACTTCAGGTGCTGCTTGTGCTAAAGTAGATTGGTTCCTCCACACACAGACGTTACCACAGGGGTCAGGTTACTTTCTTCAAATAGCAGATCCCAGTACCTATCCTCAGTATGGAAACAAGCCAAACCAAATGAACTCTGGAAAATCTAAAATGAATGTACATTTTCTTCTGTGTAAATTACTATGGTCCAAATGGTAGTTATCAACCTGATCCTAACTTTCTTTTCATTGTATTTATGCTGAATATTCCTTTTGCATTTTCAGGATTTATGCCTGTAAGAAACTACACTTGACTCTGTAAAATAAGTGTAAAGAATTATATGTCCATTTCTTGATTTTGTGATGAAATATTAAAAAAAGGTTGAGTAAGTTGTTGAAAATGCATTGCTGTTGCATCTATTCAGAGCTTCCTGATTGAAAACGACTGCTTCCTTCAGAAAAACTCTTATTCCCTAGTTATTGGAATGGGGAGTGTCACCAAAACAGATAATAAGCATTTATTCTCTTCACCATCTCAATCCTAAAGTACTTCACATTTTAAAATATACTACATGGAGGGGCGCCTGGGTGGCTCAGTCATTAAGCGTCTGCCTTCGGCTCAGGTCATGATCCCAGAGTCCTGGGATCGAGCCCGGCGTCGGGCTTCCTGCTCAGCGGGGAGCCCGGCGTCGGGCTTCCTGCTCAGCGGGAAGCCCGCTTCTCCCTCTCTCTCTGCCCCTGCTTGTGTTCCCTCTCTCGATGTCTCTCTCTCTCTGTCAAATAAACAAATAAAATAAAATAAAAAATACTACATGGAAAACATGGTAATTCTTCAGGCACAATAAAGTCTGGAAGTTAGAAGAGGAGCGGTGAACAGCTAGCTCTTTTTTGAAGACTGGAATGTGGCTGTCCCTCGTGTGCCTTACATAGCCCTGCAGGGCACTCGGGATGTCTCCCTGGCTTTGGTTGAGGTGTCCCCGGATCCGGAGAGACGCCGCCTTTGTACTGCTTGGAGTAGACCACTGTGGGTTCGTAGCTATGATGGTGTGAGATTCACTTTCTTCTGTAATACATACAGCTCTCCTGCCATTCCCCGCCAACCCTCAGGTTGCACTGTAGGGACAGGGACGCAAGAGCCCAGGGGACCAGACACAAAACACCGGAGAAGCAACCAGGTAGACCAACTGGGGTGGGATGGGGTGGCCTCCAGAGTGGGAAGGAACGGTGAATTCAGCCCTAGAGACCCGAAAGGCGCCCCGAGATAACTGCTTCTGGTGGGATTAGGATGTCTCAGTGAAGCTTTGGGCAGCAATGACACTACCGTCTTTTGCAGGGGCCCTGGAGTGGTAGCTCAGAAACGGGGGCGGTGTGGGGATGTCCGGGAATCCCGACCCCGGGTGTCCCTTGTAGGTGTTTGCAATGCAAGGCAGGCATCGAAGACCTCAATTTCCCTGGAAACTGAAACAGAGTAAAGGGGACAAACCCTAAACCCCAGCCCTTCAACCCTGGAGTGCCGAGAGGGGAAGGGCACCTACAGCCTCGAGGGTGGGGACGCCAGAGAGCCCGCGTCAGCCCAGGGCGCGGGGTTCGCCCACCCGCGGAGCCGCGGCGCACAGCCGGGAACTTCTGGCGCGAAACGGCAGGCCCCGCCCGAGGCTCTGCCACTCCCTACTCCTAGCCCCCGGGTGAGCGTGCCGCGGCCCACCGCCTCCAATCATGACTTCGCTCCGAGCGTTTTAAATATGCATGGGCGCGTCACGTTGTAGGAATCGGGATCGGTCCATAGGGAGCGGGCCGATGTCTATATAAATGTGGCCAGGGTGGGCCGAGTAGAGCGGGAGGTGGGGCGGGGGTCTACAGCCCCGGTGATCGCAGCCCACGTTGGCAACACCGGTGAGTTGCTCCTCTCTTTGCTCGCCTTTGCCGCTTCTATCAAAGGAGTGCTGACCCGGGGACGAGGTGGGAGGTGCGCGCGGATGCCGGGAGGGAGCGGTCCCGAGGCAGCCGGCGCCCCGGCCAGGGACTGGCATTTGGGCCCAGAAGCCGTCGGGCTAGAGGAAGGCACATTCCCTCAGGGCGTGTGGTCACAGCTGCCTTCTACTATACCAGTCTGCTTCTAGAGCGACGTCCTTTTTTCCGAGACCATAAATCTCGGTTTTGGCCCGCAAGTCCCAGGCCCTTTCCGGACCGAACAGGTGAGCACTGCGCGCTCCCAGCGCCTCAGCTCTCGCGCCCCCGGCGCTCCGAGCCGCCAGATCCCCGCAGGCTCGCCATGTTCCCCTGGGGGCTAAGCTGCATGTCGGTGCTGGGGGCCGCGGGCACCGCTCTCCTGGGCGCCGGCCTGCTGCTCAGCCTGGCCCAGCACCTCTGGACGCTCCGCTGGACGCTGAGCCGGGACCGGGCCTCCGCCCTGCCCCTGCCCAAGGGCTCCATGGGCTGGCCCTTCTTCGGCGAAACGCTGCACTGGCTAGTTCAGGTGAGTAGCTCGCACCCCAACACGGCCCCTTCCTCCCTGACTCCCACTGGACCCTCGGCGCTCACAGTGTTCCCAGGGTTCCTGGTCGGCCTCATCCTGTCGCTCAGGGGCCCGGAGAGCATACACAGCCCTCGCCTTTGCTCAGCTGCTCCCTTGAAGGGACGGTATGTCGCCGGAGTTCTCCCCGGCGCAACTTAAAAGCACGACCCGACACAACGCCAGGGTGAACAGAGGGGTTCGGAGAAGCATTCGCCCTATACCCTGCAAGCACAGAATCAGGAATCAGGGGCACTTCTCAGCCGTGAGGCCTCGGGCGCTCACGTCCCCATTCTGAGCCTCAGTCTCCTCATCTCACCAATGGGAACAGGGGCATCTACATTTCCGTAGGGTAGTCGCGAGGCCCATTTGAGCAAAAGGTTTTGTACAGCGACGCGCCAGCCTGGAGCAGGGAGTCGTTAGCAAGGGGCGGTTGGGAGGCCTGGGCCAGACCCCCAGCCGAGGCCCAGCGGCTCCAGCCTCGCTCCGCCTCGCTCGCAGGGCTCCCGCTTCCACAGCTCCCGCCGGGAGCGCTACGGGACAGTGTTCAAGACGCACCTGCTGGGCCGGCCGGTGATCCGAGTGAGCGGCGCCGAGAACGTGCGCACAATCCTTCTGGGCGAGCACCGCCTTGTGCGCAGCCAGTGGCCGCAGAGCGCACACATCCTACTGGGCTCGCACACGCTGCTTGGCGCGGTTGGGGAGCCACACCGGCAGCGGCGCAAGGTGAGCTAAAACCAAAGGGGCCGTTGGGACGTCAGACATGCGGTTCCTGGGCACCTGTTGTTGGCCAGGCTGGGGATAGGTTTTAGGGGCACACTTTGAAGCTGGCAGGGACCCCTGGCTAAACAGCGGTGGCTTTGGGTCAGTCCCTTACCTTTTTCCCGCTTTGGTTTATAAAGCCGGGACTGGGACTTAAGGGACATTTCATCGCCAATCTCCTGTGTGTGATTCTGATACCAGAATGGTGGAAAGTCAGACTTGGAGAGGGACCGGGGACGACTTCCTGGAGGAGGTGGCATCTGGAGCCTGGATGGATGGGAGGGACTGTATACATCAGATATCTAGAGGGAATGGCGAGAACAAAAGCCAACCCATTTAGGTCGGGGCCGCTGAGGAGAAGGGTACCGAAATTGGCCTTCTGGCTTCTCTGGAATCGCTGAGCAGGGGAAGCCGGACGGGCCGCGGCCAGGGCTGACCCCGCGGGCTCCCCACAGGTCCTGGCGCGTGTGTTTAGCCGCGGGGCTCTGCAGCGCTTCGTGCCCCGCCTGCAAGGGGCGCTGCGGCGCGAGGTGCGCGCCTGGTGCGCGGCCCGCCGGCCCGTTGCTGTCTACCAGGCTGCCAAGGCACTCACCTTTCGCATGGCTGCGCGCATCCTACTGGGGCTACGGCTGGACGAGGTACAGTGCGCCGAGCTGGCCCGGACCTTCGAGCAGTTCGTAGAGAACCTCTTCTCGCTGCCCCTGGACGTTCCCTTCAGCGGCCTGCGCAAGGTACTGCCGCTCTGGCCTCAGACCTTCGTCTTGGGGATCCCCAACGTGGACGGGTCTTCCAGGCGAAAACAAGGCTCCCTCGGCGCGCCCCACGCCTCACCTCCGTGGGGGACCGAGGATGGCCCAGGGTGGGGAGGTGGCGTGGTGTGGCTGTCGGTGTCGGGGCTGACCTCTGTC